GAGTGAGCGAGCGGCTGCGTGGTGCTGAGTTGCCAGCCGGGTTAAACCACGACAACAACCCTTTCACTGAAAAAATTTTTCCTAATGTCCAACCGAAACCTGCCCTGACCATTACAACTAACCAGCATAACCTTCCTCAGAATAGGCCAAAAAGATCCAACCTTGCTCTTCCTTCAAGCTTGCGAATAAACTATCCTCGGAGCTACTCTCTCCTTAGGATGTTTCTTTTGTGATAAAGGCTAGCTACACTAGTAAACCAAATTGAAAAATAAACTACTGACTAGTTACAGTCATGTACAGGAACTTAACATACACCCCTTGTCCCTTAACTTTCCTTCTACTCACCATCCTAGAGACAGAGAAAACTCAAAGCTCTGCTGGGGTTACTTAAGGTGCAGTTACACGTTTGGCACCAGTCATGTTTCTCCCTACCTTAGCTGCTTATTCCTATCCACAAATGCCTGTTCTGTTATAGCAGCATCCGTTCCTGCAATCACATGGCAAGCCAGGTGGAAAATTAATTACTTTCAGACAGATCAGTATCTTCATTGAGGCCATGGTGCAGTTTCGGAAACAAGGCGAGTGGCTCAATACAACAGGCAGTACAGCTGTGGGAATGAATGGTCAGGAGCAAGGGCTACATATAGCAGCTTAAACTAATGAAGAAATAAAGAAGCAGCTACAGGTTGATTCTTAGGCATTCTTCTGAGATACGCAAAGTTACACAAGCACTGAAAGATGTGAATCATCAAGATCATCAGTACCAAAGATGACTTACCCCCATCACCTTACCACGCTGTTCAACATCCTCCCACATGCAGTGAACGATATAGCGACACATGTATTTTCCTGTGCGACCCTCCTGCTTCATTCGTACCAGACACATCCTGCAGGAACATAAACACCAAATTCATAGCTTCTAAGTTTTTCTTCAAATGTAAAGAGTAAATTACATAGATTTCAGCTCATTTAAGCTTCTCCTTATATTATGTGGTTTTGTGATCAGGAAAAAACCAGATACAAAGATTTTTTTTTTTTTTTTTTAAATAAACTATCACAAACTTTTCTATTCTGTACTCAAGAGCTGGATTTTGGCCAATCCATCTGTGGAAGAGTGACAGTGGACTCTATTCAGGCTGACAGTACTGTAATCTAGTTAAACAGTACTGCAACCTAAATTCCTCAGCCTTAAAAACATATCGCTCTGGAGCAGGAACAAATGTCTTGTCTAACCCTAGGCTACAAGCCAGCTGTAATTCAGCTTGGTACACTGAAGTTCTGTAAGAGTCCAAACTAGCCAAGCTGTGAAAGCTTAAGCAAGTTATAGACTTCACCCAAATTCACATTAGCAATGTCCTAAATTATTTCAGCTACAGGCCTTTGGATACACATCCAATCACCTGGCAAAACCCCTATGTGCAGCACATGCTGGAACCACAAGTCTGTAAGTGCATTGTGGGATCGTAATGAGAATACCAGGCTGAGTTGGTTTACTTTTTTTTTAAGCATTAAAGCCACTTGAACTTAACTGCTGCTGTTCCATCTAAAGAATAAATCATCAGAACAAACATTTTATTTTGCCTCTTTTACAACATCTGTAAATGGCATGAACTAAAATACAGGCCCATCCCTCACTAAACGGAGACCAGTCCCATCACCAGTCCCACCTCCTCCACCCCACTAACCAGCTCTGGTCCTGTGTTCTGAGCCAGAAGTGCCTGTCCAGGACTGACTGAGTTACTGTAGACAAGGTGATGCTCAAGCACTGGAGCTGGAAGAAGTTGCTGCTTTGCTGCAGGTGGGAAACTGCTGGCAGGAAATTCTCACAGCTTATGCAAAAGCAACAGCGCAGAGCTGCTGGAGGACACTTTGAAGCAGCTGCACACTAACAACAGTGAATGTGCCACAAGAGTTAAGAAGTAAAAATGATGATTTTTTTTTTTTTTTTTTTATCTGTTCATTTGTTCAGTGGGCATAAGATCTGTGCCTCCCTACAGGCATTAAAACTTTTGGTGATCAGTGAATGCCAGCTCAAAAAGGAGAATCATAAACACCTGAAGCTTGTCTGTTGAGCCAGCCTGTAAAAGGACAGACGCCAACCCTTATGATGGATTCTATCTTGTCTACTGACTAGTAAAGGAAAGGTGTTTTCTAACCTGCAAAGGAAGCAAAACATTGCCAGCCATGAGTCACGGACACAAAACAAACTGAAGGTAAGAAAAACTGTACTTGTCCTATATTCTTTGTCTGATTAGAACCATACATTTGAGTCCCATACAAGGGCCATTCAACCGAGACACCAAAACTGAAAGAAAAGCCCACAGACCAGAATCTGGTTTCTAGAAGGAGAGTTTCTGACAATGACACTGGCCATACGAGAGAGAGCTCGGGCTCCAACAGAAGCCAGGTGGAATGAGGTCAGAAGATTGGAGAGAGAGACTCAGCCATGACAAGCAGACCAGTGACCAAACGGTGGAGAGACTGAGAGAATTCGGGTAGAGAAGGGGAATGGCAGCAGTCAGCAAAGGAATGTTGGGAAGACTGTGGCAATTTCTGTCTAAGGCAAGAGCTGTGTAAGGATTCCCAAGGTTTATATTGTGGCCGTGACAACTCTGTATCTGTCCCAGCAAACAAATGCAATTAAGATGGTGTTGAGAAATGAATCCTCATCTTGTTCACAGAAAAATGACAAAGCTTTCTGCTAAAATGGCAGTCCAGAACTCAGACAACAGCTGTCCAGTTACCAGGCCTTCCACAAAACAAACGCACAAAGTTTAAAAGTTTTGTGTCCATCTTCCACCAGGTTCAAAACCTTTGTTCTTCTTGTGCATTTACATAATTGAGCTGTATGAAAAAGTTAATTAGTAAGCATTACTGTATCCCAAATTTTTGCCCACCCTTAACAAGTCAAAAAGACTCAGTTTAGAAGACTAATTTGGGGCTAAGAAACGCATTTTTATACTTGTCTTGCTGAATATGCAATCTCGGGGGGGAGGGGGGCAGGGAGCAAGAGTGGCTTGGCAAGAAAACCTCCTCCCGAGCATAAATACTGGTTCCTATCCAGTCTGCCTTCAGTGGTGGTGAAGCAGGAGGAAAGAGCGGTGCAGAGCCCAACAACTAACAATTGCTCACTGATGAGCAGGACTGGCACGGTGTTCAGAGTAAAACCTGCTACCCATGAAGCCTAAAAGGCAGCTCTGTGTTTGGATGCATAGTGCTGTCACAGAGCTGTTCTGCAGCACCACGAGTGAGATCATGGAATTTCGCAGTTTATTTGAAAATTTGGTAGTTTGTTACTACACCTGCCGTCTGAGGTTTGAAAGACACAGACTCTTTAAAGACTATAAACCTTCTAACTAGATCAACACAGTGTGAAACATTTTATCGTTTCGCTACAGAATCTGTTCTGTAGTTTAGTCAAATACTGACTCATCTTTGTCAAACCGTGAAAGCAAACTCATTCCAAAACTATCTTTAGAAAGCTGTCTACCTGACATTGGTTGGGCTGGGTAATTTATGCTATTTAAGTTATGCAGAGAGATTATGTTAGAAGAAAATTATACGAAAGGCCGCTTGAAAAGGAACAGGATCACCTATAACTCAACCCATCTTGGATGAGATGCAGCAGTTGCCCTCAACAGCCTCAGCTACAACTGCTTCTGTCAGTGCTCCCCTAGTGCCAACAGACTGGCTTAAACACCAGAAGTGGTAGTTGACACCACCAGGCCGACTGTTGTGGGGTGGCTCAGGGCCACGCAATCAAGATGTGATGATGCATTGTACCTCTAAGGGCAAAGCCCACTCGGAGCTTCCCGCTGTCCCCTGCCTCCAGCCACTCATTCCTGC